TAGCCACGTATGTCAGTTTTAGCGTTTGTCACATCTCCGCCAAATTATAGAATAGCCACTGTTTTTTTGAATGGTATATTTGATTTGAATCACCCATCGAAAAATGGAGAGGTTCCGATAACTCCAGATAGTGTTTATTGGTTATGAAAAATGAGAGGAGCAGATCGATCGGTAAAATTGGAATCGCCGGCATCGTTTTGCATGAGCTGGCACGATCCGCTTGAGTGAGACACCGCGGAGCCTGAAGACTAAGCTCTGTGTATTCAAGTCAGTTTTGCCACTTTTTGGTCTGAACAATGATGGAAAAACTGCGAACCCAGGTACAAACGACTGGAATGGCTTGTCTGAGGAGTTGACTGGCTTCATGCGTCTTGATGTGGTTTCAGAGTTCCGATATCTGAGAAGGCTATGGCGCTCAACCGCTGCTTCTCCACAACGAGAGTCACGTCTGTAATGGTTTGGGCTCTTGTTGCGAATGCTTCTAGAAAGGAAGGTGCAACAGCTACTACGTGCCCAGCCGACTGGCCGGAGATCCGGTGAACGGCCATTAATAACTCGGTGCAAGTACAGTGAATGATTCCGCTCCATATTCAGGCTGCTTTCTGTCGAAGCTCAAATACTGATGCCTGATCGGGAACATTGGAAGCGTTGTCTGATGCGACTGTCGCCGTGACCCGAAAGGACAAACGGTCATTGAAATTGACTGACCGACCGTTGATAGAATTCGCTGGCTGAATTTCGCATCTTACGCATCTCCGCATCTTTTGTTTGCTGTTTAATTTTCTACACAGTTCCCCACGGGCTTCGTATCTCTCTAAATTTTGGTGGCCTCAATTTCATCTACTCTGCGATGTGATCGATTTACTATAATTGGTTTTTTAGGCATCAGCTTCAGTCCTTCGACACCAAGGCAGAAGCTATCAGGGAGAAGCGGAAGTGACAAGCGGGATAAATCTTCTCAGCCGGACAGCTGCATTCCGAATTTTGGCATCAAAGGGCTCCATCCGAAGGTAGGCCAAAGTCCAGACGCCCGAGCGTTTACACCCCGGTCAAACGCGACGCCCGGAATTGTTGGCGGCCACCGAGACTCTACGGAAACAGTGACGAAGGACGACAAGATGTTCGACAAGTTCAAGCTGTTCTCCACTTTGAAGGACAAAGAGAAGTCATCGTCGATGAAGCCCGACCGATCCTATCGCATTCCGAAGAGCAGTACGAGAGCGAGTAACAGCAGCAGCGGCTTTAGCAGTGCCAAAAGCGAACTTAGCGACACTACCTGTGATACAGTGCCTTACGAAGGTGTCAAGGGGTCGAAAGAGACACCGAACGCCGCCAAACTGAGCGCAAAAGAAAACTCGTCGCGACTAGCCGTAAAGGACGCCAGAAAGGGCTTTCTCGCCAAATCTTTGAAACCGTCTAAGAAACCCAACCATCAGACGGCGGCAACGGTCAACTACGAGAACGCCGAGGAAGCTCAGGTCCACACGACGAACAACCTACGTGCCGAAGGTATGGGTGGCACGTATCCTCGGAGCTCTGCTGCTTCCGCAGCAGAGTCGACGATTTTCCAACATACGTCGGCCGGGCCAAGCGGGAAGCAATTTCCTCCTTCGAGACTCGGCATTCGAAAGCCAACTTTGGCGGTGCGAGGTACCTCAAAAGCGACCTCTGCGTGTAGGGACGGTGGAAGAACATCGTGTATTCCAGTTCCGGCCGCAGACGTCGTTGGTTCATCGTCGGTATCCTTCAAGAGCTCTACGCTGCCCAGTTCCAAGTCGCCGTCGTTCACCACCGCGGTGGCCGGTGTCAGCTCTAAGACATCTGCGAAAATGGACTCCATCCGGGGCAGTGTGTCCGGCGGCGGCGATGGTGGTAAACCCGCCGTAGTCTCGGAGGCGACGAATCGGCCGATGTCTTCCACTCAGTCTCCCGCCATATGTACCAAAGCTGAAGCCGCCTATGGCAGTGGCCACAAATGCGACAGCGCCGGTGTCGTCGTCGCCGATCATCCGACTAGTCCTTGTAACTCGTCTCACGCTGTAGTCGGCGTTGTGTCTCCACTCACTCACCAACGAAAGCTGAATGACGACCAAACGCCACCAGTGGTCGAGATGGCCGCCGTAAC